CCCCATCCAATCTCAATACTAATGTAGTATATTCTGTTTCTTGTAATGACTGTGCTGTGTTTTATTTTGTATTATTTTTGTATTCTTGTTCGAAACTCTACAAAATATACATATATACATATATATATACATATATACATATATATACGAGTATATATATATATATATATATATGATAAAAGTTTTGTCGACGTTGATACATATTTGTAAATTTTTTTGCAGCCCAACCGTCGAATTAAAAAAAAGATTAAATAACAAAATTATTTATTCCATTATACGTTTCGCCACTTGATGTGTGTCATCATTCAGTAATCTAAAAAAACATTTAACATAAATACACAAGTGATGATAAATATAAATATATAAAAGGAGGAAATTATACATATCAAACCAGGAATAACAGGAAACATTAATTATGATGTAAAAATTGATTTAACACTAAATTTGTGTAAAATGATAAAATACTATTAATTAACAAACGAGAAATAGGAGGAGCACATATTGCCCTCCTATATTTAATGTTATGGTAGCATAGCGTTGTGTGTACTGTTCAAGGTTAAAAGTACATCGCAGCGCAGTGTAGGCAACGCACGTGTATGGGAGTGGGAGAAGTAGCAAGAACGAAAGGGGAAAGAAAAACAGAGAAGAAATATAACAAATGGAAGATTCTAAAACTGTATTGAATTACTTTTCATGAAATTAATAATTACTTTGTAACTATCATGTAAGAGATTAGAGGAATTACGTTTGTTTACACAAGACGTATTAAGGGATATAAGTAAAGACTCAACTATCTTTCCAAGGTCACTGTTTTTTTCAAAGTAAAGGATTGAGGGATTTGACATGTTAAAAGTGTGGTTCAGGTTTATCATATGTTCAGCAAGCATCGTTTTGAATTGATTTGGGTTTCTGGAATTATAAGTATGTTGATTAACCCTCTTGTATATATATTGGGAAGTTTCACGAATGTAACAACTGTTACAATCATTGCAGTCCAACCTGTAAACAGAATCAATAATCCTATCAGCGGGAGTTTTTGATTTAAGAGGAGAAAAAAGGCAACGGAAAGTGTTATCAAAACTGAAAACCAAAAGAAAACCTTCAGCGGCAAATAACTTTTTTAAAAAATAAGAAAAACTGCTTAAAAAGGATAAACAAATAACACCTTTATATTTGCCGTTGCCTTTTTTCTCCTCTTATATCAAAAACTCCCGCTGATAACTAACTCCGTTGCCTTTTTTCTCCTCTTATATCAAAAACTCCCGCTGATAGGATTACTGATTCTGTTTACAGGTTGGACTGCAATGATTGTAATAGTTGTTACATTGGTGATACTTATAATTACAGAAACATACTTATAATTCCAGAAACCCAAATCAATTCAAAACGATGCTTTCTGAACATATGATAAACCTGAACCACACTTTTAACATGTCAAATCCCTCAATCCTTTACATTGAACAAAACAGTGACCTTAGAAAGATAGTTGAGTCTTTACTTATATCCCTTAATACGTCTTGTGTAAACAAACGTAATTCCTCTCATCTCTTACATGATAGTTACAAAGTAATTATTAATTTCATGAAAAGAAATTCAATACAGTTTTAGAATCTTTCATTCGTAATATTTCTTCTCTGTTTTTCTTTCCCCTTTCGTTCTTGCTACTCCTCCCACTCCCATACACGTGCGTTGCCTACACACAACGCTATGCTACCATAACATTAAATATAGGAGGGCAATATGTGCTCCTCCTATTTCTCGTTTGTTAATTAATAGTATTTTATTATTTTACACAAATTTAGTGTTAAATCAATTTTTACATCATAATTACTGTTTCCTGTTTTTGCTGGTTTGGTATGTATAATTTCCTCCTTTTATATATTTATATTTATCATCACTTGTGTATTTATCTTAAATGTTTTTTTTAGATTACTGAATGATGACACACATCAAGTGTCGAAACGTATAATGGAATAAATAATTTTGTTATATATATATATATATATATATATATATATATATATATTTGAATAGTCTTGAATTTGATGTTGATATATATGTTTAATTTGAGTTTAAACTTCGGGCGTAACATAAAAAAAATAGTATGATAGTTTTTTTTTTAATTTATTTATTTAAAATCCATACGTTTCGGCTAGCATCTTAGCCATCATTCAGTGGTAATCAAATAACTATAAAAATTAAAACTAAATAAATAATATGTAAGAAATTTCATACAAAAACAAGGACAATAATAATAATAATAATAAAACACTTACAATTTTGTATCCTAATATAGCTAATATACTCATTCCATGGATCAATAATGGTTTCATATACTATATTAGGATACAAAATTGTAAGTGTTTTATTATTATTATTATTATTATTTTTCTATGAAATTTCTTACACATTATTTATTTAGTTTTAATTTTTATAGTTAATTTGATTACCACTAAATGATAGCTAAGATGGTTAAGATATATATATATATATATATATATATATATATATATATTAATTTGGAAATATGAACAAACAACACTCTTCTTGCACTAATTTATTAAATAATAATTTTCACAAACGTTTCGAGACTAGGTTTGTCTCATTATCAGTGTGTTATAATTAAAAAAAATTTTTAAATATGGAAATCTAAATTAGCATTTTGTGTTTTTCATTACAAGTCGTTCACTGCTCGCTGCTCTTTTAATACCAACGGTCTTCGGTGTTCGTATTCTCTCCCACTTGAAAACCACTTGAAATTGTAATGTCACGCAATCAGATAGGAAGAAAGGATTAGGGTCCAGTTGAAAAATAGATGTCGTTAGGAGAAAAAAATATTATATGATGAGATGGTTTGTTTATAAGATTTGTTATACATTGTTATAATTAAAAATGTATGTACATCTATATATAAGCTACAAAGTATTAATGAGATTCAGATATGTATCATGTAATATATTGGTATCTGTCCGTAAATTTACTGTGTTACTTGTATGGGCTATTAACATCGATTCTGCAATACTTCTTTTAAATAAATCTTGTTCATAATATAAAATGTGCGGATTATTGAAATCGAAACTATGGCTGTTAGAGATAGCGTGGTCTACAAGTGTACTTTTTTGTTGTATGTTATTATTCTTACTTTGTTTGCTTTGTAATTCGTGCTGTCTTAATCTTTTTTCTAAATTTTGACATGTTTGCCCAATATAAGATGACTCACATTTCAAACAGTTTATTTTGTACACCACATCTTTTCTTTTTTTAGTAGGTGTATTGTCTTTAATGTTTGTGTATATGTCTTGCAGTTGTAGTAAGGGTGACACGGATATGTTAATATTATGTTTATTAAGAAGCCTTTTAGATAAAAGGTGTAAATCTTTGTCTATATATGGTAATCTCACAAAACATTTATTTTCTGATACAGACAAGTGATTTGAGCAATGTGTGGTTATTGATTGTTTGTCTAATAAAAATTTAATTCTATTTTTAATTATTGGACTGATTATTTTGTAAGGGAAACTATTCATGAGTAATTTGTTAATGACTAATTTGATATTGTGAATATGAAATTTTGGGTTAGATAAAAGAATTGCATGGTCTACTAAACTGAGAACTGTGGATATCTTTATATTGAGAGGTGTAAAAGAATTAAAATTAATATACCTAATACTAAAAGAAGAAAAGATGTGGTGTACAAAATAAACTGTTTGAACTGTGAGTCATCTTATATTGGGCAAACATGTCAAAATTTAGAAAAAAGATTAAAACAGCACGAATTACAAAGCAAACAAAGTAAGAATAATAACATACAACAAAAAAGTACACATCGCTATCTCTAACAGCCATAGTTTCGATTTCAATAATCCGCACATTTTATATTATGAACAAGATTTATTTAAAAGAAGTATTGCAGAATCGATGTTAATAGCCCATACAAGTAACACAGTAAATTGACGGACAGATACCAATATATTACATGATACATATCTGAATCTCATTAATACTTTGTAGCTTATATATAGATGTACATACATTTTTAATTATAACAATGTATAACAAATCTTATAAACAAACCATCTCATCATAGAATATTTTTTTCTCCTAACGACATCTATTTTTCAACTGGACCCTAATCCTTTCTTCCTATCTGATTGCGTGACATTACAATTTCAAGTGGTTTTCAAGTGGGAGAGAATACGAACACCGAAGACTGTTGGTATTAAAAGAGCAGCGAGCAGTGAACGACTTGTAATGAAAAACACAAAATGCTAATTTAGATTTCCATATTTTAAAAATTTTTTAATTATAACACACTGATGATGAGACAAACCTAGTCTCGAAACGTTTGTGAAAATTATTATTTAATAAATTAGTGCAAGAAGAGTGTTGTTTGTTCATATTTCCAAATTAATATCTATTATCCACTCAGAATACATTTGTTATATATATATATATATATATATATATATATATATATATATATATATTCCCTGTGGCACATTGTGATTAAATGGTTGAGAAATAAAAAATAAAATAAAGGAAAAAATTTCATAAAAGTTTGACTGGAGATGTACAATATTTTTTGTTTTTTTTTTCACTGGCAGCATAGATGTAAAAAATATCTGATTTCCCGGCTCTGAAACAGGCAACATAGAGTTGTCCACGCGACAAGCAATAATTATCTAAATCTAAACCCACAAATCTATTGATTAGTGTGTTTTATATTTAGATAATGCTTAACTTGTGCTCTATCGATCTTGAAAATGCAATCTTTTAAATTAAAATGCTGTATCTGCCGGAATATTATGGGTTATTGCTTTCACTACATTTATCATTAATTTCTTAACAACAATTCGAGTTTTGGCTGATTAATTTTTAGCGAAGGATAACTGCCATACCTATTTTCAATTTGAATGTGTATGGTGTAGTATAAAACTAATATGTAATGTAATTGGTACCGACATTAACGATTTCTAAGGTGTTGGATAAAAAAAATATACCTCTAATAGGACCCAAAGCTGCATCCTTTGCTAAAGCAGTTAGATCACTACCAGAGTAGCCATCGGTCATTTCAGCTAACCTGCGTAATTGGTCAGTATCTAATGGAGAACCCTGTTTCGCTAGTAATCGCTCTAGCAAAGCATAACGAGTGAGAGCGTTTGGCAAACATACATAAACCCGCTTAGTAAATCTCCTGCAATTTTAAAACAAATTATTACAATCCTAAATGGATTCATGATATACACAAATGTATCAATATCAAATGAGCTTTATTTGTGAAAATATCAAACAATGTTTTAATAGGACAGTAAAAAAGTAATGTTCAGGCAATTTTTGGAGTTAACGCCAAAAAAAATTTCGTGCTGATCAGCTAATGCGTGTTCTCTATCAATTAAAAAAATGGTAGTCGAAAGGAGCCAAGTCTGGTAAATAAAGCCGATAGAAAAGCTTTGATTAAATCCTAAACTTGTTTTGCCTTGCGTGCAGGTGCATTGTCATGCAGCAAAATTACGTGGCCGTATCTTCTGCCCATTATGATTGTTTTTTTAATAAAAGTTCGACTTAAATAGACCATTCGTTGTCGGTAGCAATCAATATTAACGGTTTCGCAACAACAGGTTTTAACAACCCGTCGTACACCACACCACTCTGGTCTCACCAAACACACAGCATTGTCTTCTTAACATAACAAAGCTATTGGTCAGAATATATTCTGACGGTTTGGCAGTTTCGATGCATGATGCCTCTGCACCGTGTATCGTTTGCACTTCTTGGAATATTGCAGCCTCTGGCATGTATCATTCACATAAGGGCTCCTTTTTTATACCCAAACATTCACTCGACAGTTATAATTTTAAGTCAGTCTAGAGACAATGCAGCGGGGCAGCCAACATATATAATTTAAACACCGCTGTATTTTAATAGTTAGAAGATATAATATAGATTTTATACCCAACGCAGTATTTTTATTCAGTAATAATCAAATTTGGAACGGTTATCTTCAGATACTGATTATTTTATTACAGTCCGCTTCAAAAATTATTTCTGTTAGTAGCCAGCCAAACCAGCTATATTATCGACTGTGTTACCGCAGAATTGGCCTCTTAATTTAAGTAAAATATGGCATGTTCTTCGTATTGCTCCCAAGAGAGCTGCGATTTTTTTATCAATTTTATAATCTCATGCTGGTTTATCATTTATCATTCTACTCAAATATTTATTATTTTATTTGTTTCATTTCAATATGGAGGCCATTCTACAATAGTCAATACAACGTGTTTTCCATAAAGACAAATCTTAATAAACAATCGTTAACATCGTCATGTCTTTGGTGATTGGGACCTTGAAACGAATGAAAAAGATCAATAACTTCATCAAAAAATCATCTCGACATTTTCACCTCGATATCCAAGCCCGGCGCCCGGAAAAATAAAATATATAGCAGAAAACCCTCACAGTCCTCAATAAGCAACTATTTGGAAAAGTTTATCAACTGGTGGGCCATTAAAACTTACCTTTGCACAGCATTCACAGCAACAGTTACGGTGAATGGATTCCAATGTCTACATATGAAATTTTATGACCATAATTCGATGGCATTGATCTAGACAACGTTTGATTTCAAGTCGGTGCTACATCCCATACAAGTAACAAAAACTTCGATCTTTCACGGAAATGGTTTTCAGACCGTGTGATCTCTCGAAGAGGTGATTGCGAGTGACTACCGAGATCTTATGATTTATAATACAACCTTACGAGTTTTACTATGATAGCATGAGCCCTAAAATAACTCAAATATTAAATTTATGGATCTATTTTCCGTATGCAGGTCGCGTAAAAATTTCTTCGCTTAGCGCCGGTATTGCTAATTCGTATTACTTTGCTTGTCGGCGACCGTTCTGAATATTATCGAAAAATAAAAATTTTTTAGGTCTTACTAATGCTGACGGGTTCAGCTTATTGTTACCTAAACAAAATTCCAACATAATGGAAAAATTTCTGCCACTGTCTAAATTACTATACTGAGCTTACGACACCACTGTGGTGGTGTCGTAATTCTTATGTAAGTCTAAGATTTTTGGTTAAATTTTGTTAGAGTAGCTTAATAAGATAATTTTTATATTTTATGTAATCACTGCTACCAACTAGGCATTTTTTTTTCAAAAGTACGAAAAAAGCAGCGCCTGAAATGGTTAATGATTCTTATTCGGGCGTTAATCTATAAAATTTACTTCAATACTATTAACGTCGAATCGCGCATTTGATGCTAATTGGCCAATCGTTAATATACCCACCGTAAAGCAGCTTCGTCCAATTCTTGAGGTCTGTTTGTAGCGGCCATGACAATAACTCTACTTCCGCTTGAGTCCAATGATCTGCCTGAAAGTAAGCCGTCAAACTCGACTAAAAATTCAGTCTTTAGTCTGCGGGATGCTTCATGTTCACCTATACTTCGTTCACTCAGCAAGGAATCCACTTCATCAATAAATATAATCGATGGCTGAAAATTATATGACATATTTTACGTACTTATTTTATATAAATAAATTTGTGGTTCATGGCATTGTGCCTTAAAGCAAACTGCTGAACTTCTCGTAGAGTAAATAAATATTCGATCGTAGAGTAAATAAACATACTAATTAATCAATTAGTAATAAAAATTGTTTTAAATGTATTCCAGTAAATTGTTATAAATGCTGTAATGATGTTTATAAATATATATTAAATTGGGTGACAAACGTATTTTATAAAAACTTATGTGTTACAAGAAATGTTAATATTTACGTATAAACAAAAACTAATCAAACCTAGTTAGAATGAAGCCATCTGAAGATCTTTTCTCATATTTCTAGAAATTATTTAAAAAGACGTGTATAAAAAACACGATTCAAGTGAACTTCGGAATTTTTAAAACTTAAAGGATCTTTGTTTATATTTGAAAATTTTAATAAAAACTGAATTATTTTTGATATTGTATCTTCAAAAGAGTTTTTCGAAAATTTTAATTTGTTTTCGAAATTATGAAGCCGCATCTGCCTTTACCAAAAACTAATCATTTCTTCACGCCGTCAATTCATTCTAATGAAATGATCCATTCGCTCGAAAAACTGCTACTATAATCTGCAAAATTCATTAATGTTGGGAGGAATAAAGCATATTTTTGAAATAAACAGTTGAAAATTTTATTATCGCTCTTTAAAACGTTGTTCTTAAAAGTCTTAATTATTATTAATTAATAAGTCGAATAATTAATAAGACTATTTTAATTATTTTCAAATAATAAGTCGATTAATTAATAAGTCGATTGTGTACATGCACTTATATTACCGAGAAGTTCATGCAACTAGGGCTTTATAAAAAAAAATTCATTTACACCTAGTTTTTTTAGAATTTAAGATGATAAAAATTTATATATAATTCAAATAACAAGAAAAATTTTAAATTAAGTTCAAAACTATCAATTGATTAGAAATAAATGGGCGTGTTCCCATACAGAATCGGCCCCATTCTGGTATTTGAATGATTTTGATGCCATTTTATAGATCTTTTTGAAAAATTACAATATACCAATTTTCAACTCCCTATCTCATCATTTGGCCGAGATGGTATCAGTGAAAACATGTGGAATTGGCTCTGTTTTTCGAACGAAGTTTTTATCGGAAATATAAAAGATATCGAAAAAATGAAAAGGTGAAAATAATTTTTCATTTTTCATTTCCTACCAGTGCGGCTCTTTGGACAACTTTTAAATTTGCATCATTGGAAAACCTGTACATTTTTCTTCTGTTATTCAAAATTTAATTTAAATCTAGGTGGAACTTTGTGGTCAAAAATTCTGTATGGAAGCACGCCCATACCCTTTAAGAAGCAATGTAGGACAGTGTTAGACCTTATAACACATGGTATAGGCATTATAAGTTCTATGAGTACATTACAAAACTAAAAATTTTATTTAGAAAAAACTAATTAATATGTCCATGTACATTAGGGTGGTCCTTAAAGTGGATACTTTTGAATTTCCTTGCTCACAGGGTGTTGTGACAAAATAAATTACAAAAATGTATAGAAGTTCGTGATCTACAGAGATGCTGCCGAACTCTATTAAAAATTACACTTTGTTTATATTTTCGAAGGTCCAGATATATTTAGATAATGGCTATATCAGACCGATTAAAAGATGATAAGAAGTTTAATTGTTGTATATTTAAATGAAATAATAGATGTTAAGATTTATAGATGATATGTTACTTAGTTGAAGTTTGAGTTAAATACCTATGTTAGTTAGATGAAATTTTTGATATATCTAAATTATAAAGATTTGAAAATTTTTTGTTATTTCTCTGATTGATTCGATTTTGGGGTTCAAGCGACATCCCACTACATTTTGACCAATCAGGTGATTCCATGGTACGTGGAATTGCATCAGGAACAGGTGATTAGAGAGGCTCTTGGAAAAATGGATTAATGGTATAATGATAGGTTTAGGGACTGGATGTATGACAATGAAAGGGATTATTTAATATTTCGAAATTCTATAAAAGGGATGAGGGTTTATTTTTGCTATCCTGTATGAAAGTAATAAAATATAATAATATTATTCTATTAGACCAGGGTTGAGTAAGGCGTTAACACAGGGGCTCATATGCTTCCAAATTGATAAAAAAAAATCTCTAAAAATTTTAGCTCTTAATGGTAACTTTTAGATAGTCCGCAATTCAATCAAAGTTTCGTATATTTTTTAGTATAATCAGGTGTCAATTAAGTAAATTCTTGCGCCATCTCTGATAGCATTCGTGAACTCAAATCATGCGGCAATTTGTGACTCATAATTTGAGTGCCAACATCAGCAATTAAATAAATAGTTTGCTGCATAAATAATATTAATGCAATGATGAATAAATATTTCGTTAAACAGCTCACATATATTTAATTAGATGTTAAGCGTTTTATAAATATTTTCAAGGGTCTAAATATTTGAGCTCACAAATGTTCCCTCACTTGATAATATTTTTAAATATAGAATAATTAAACTTTGAACTCGAATAACTTTTAATTGAATGTATTTAACAAAAATTTATAAAAAACCTTTTTAGTAGGGAGTCGAATTTGCAATTTGTCGCTGAGTTATATATAAAAAAGCAAATGGAATTTTTCCCATGTAATTTGCATAAGAAACTTTAATTGAACCGCGGACTATCTTGAAGTTAATATTAAGGGCTAAAACTTTTTGAGATTTTTTATCAATTTGGAAGCATTTGAGCCCCTGGGAGCAAAGAAATTCGAAAATGTCCATATTAAGGACCACTCTCAATTGTTCATGCAGGACCAGTAAAAGCCTGGGTAAGTATATTTTGAATAGCCTACCTCTAATTCTCGCGCAACCGCAAATAAAGCACGTACAAGCTTTTCGCCATCTCCAACGTATTTGCTTGTCAATGTCGCTGCACTCACGCTCAAAAATGTCGCAGAACATTCAGTAGCGACGGCTCTGGCAAGTAATGTTTTACCTTAGTAAAAATATATGCTTGTTAAAACAAGATAAAGAACATCAAATATGTATGACAATAAATATGGCGCTGAAAAATATGCAGATATAGAGCTTAAAGCACCATTTTTATCATTACATACATAAGAATATGTTATAGATATTTGATATATCATGATAAATTATTGATGAACATTTTGTACTTATCATCACAAATCCTTCATAATGTAGATGTTTTTCACCATAATGGAATATATAGAGTACAAACACTATAGTAACTTTAAAAAAAATGATAAATATGTGATAATATTCTGGTTCCAAGATTCAATTCAAGAAACTTTTCCGGATAAACTATACTATAATTCTCTAAGGTCGCTATTGAATTCCGAATTTAATTTATTTTTATTAATCAAGACTTTAATGTCTTATTTACAAAATTGATATGGGCAAAAAAAGAAAAAAATACAATAAATTGAATATAAATTAAAAAAAGTAAAAATAAAATTAAATAAAAACAGTAATACAAAAATAATAACATAAATGAACTACGACGTGATTACGTATGTCGCGTACTAAGTCAGGGCGTGTGCAGACATTGGGCCATAGATAATCAAGTATAAATAGATAGTAAACTGGACAGCTTTTCGATTATTTTCATTTTAATTTTCCGCTCCTGCTACAGAGGCGCGACGAGTGTGGCATGAAAATTTACCCCTAGCATTCTCTCTTTTTTTTTCTCAGCGTGTTATTGAGATGATTAAGGGATGTCTTATCCGTTGGTAGATGAAAACGTTGCAAGGTACGTCTTGCTTTCGTTTCTGTGCAATTAGCTTCTTAATCTCTTACGGAATCATTAGATTATCATTTCTTGGAATAATATTCGGGGTGATCTGCTTGGTTGTTTTATGTACAATCTCAGAAAAATATTCTGTTTTATTTTTTATATCAATAACGCTTGTAGGCCTAGATTTTGGAAATAATTTTGAATCAAGTATGGATTTAATCAATTCAATTGTACAAGAAGCAGCAAATGAAAATAAAATCAAACAAATACTGAGAGCAAGAGAAAACACTTGGATAACAGACGAAACTACAAATCTAATGAAATATAGAAACAAATTTTATATTGATATGAAGAAATGCAAACCGAATGAAGTAAACAAATTTAATATGATGAAAATGAAATATAATAATATAAAAAAGATATAAAAAATATTATCTACAAAGCAAAAAGACAGTACTATCTAGAAGAAACACAAAAGTGTGAAAATAATCCTCGGAAAATCTGGGAGCTAATAAACAAAACACTAGAAGAGGAAAATAATAAAAATGAGTATAAAGACAACATTAAATAGATTAAACATCAAGATAAAAACATATTTCTTACGGAAAAGAAAAACATTGCGGAGTATCTCAATAAGCATTTTGCTGAAATAGGAAGAAAGCTACAAGCAATCTAATCGATCAATGCAACTACAAATCATCAATATCTAGACCTGAAAACAAAAATCAAAATTTTGTATTAACAAATGAAAAAGAAATAATAAAAATTGTGGAAAACCTGAAAAACAGCGCTGCGCCTGGGGAAGATAAAATAACAGCAAGAATTATTAAAAAAATAATAAATCAAACAGCTCCTCTACTCACTTTATTAATCAATAGCTGCATAGAAAGGAGTACCTTTCCATCGTGCCTCAAAACTTCTACAATAAAACCAATTTTTAAAACAGGGAACAAAACAGATCCAATAATTACAGACCCATTACAATAACTAATACATTTTCGAAAATATATGAAAAAAATATTAAAGAGATTACTAAATTTGCTCATTCAAAAAATAGATAAACATCAATATGGTATCCTCCCTTCATCAAACACTCAGGGTGCCCTAATAGATTTGACTAATACCAACAGTCAACACCTTGAGGAAAATATGCATACAGCTGCAGTTTTGATTGATCTACAAAAAGCTCTCGACACAGTAGATCATGGAATATTACTCAATAAACTAATAGATTTGGGTGTAGAGGGTTTGTCTTACAGCATCATCAAAGATTTCCTCATGGAAAGGGTGGTAAGGACGAAGGTGAGAAATTTCACAAGCGGAAGATGTAGCATAAACTGTGGAGTTGCACAAGGTTCTGTATTAGGACATTTATTGTATCTATTATATACCAGTAACCTTGAAGGCGCAAAATTAAAGGAAAGATATATATATATATATATATATATATATATATCGATTATATATAATAAATATATATATATATATATATATATTATATGCAGACGATACTGCCATAGTATATGCAGACAAGGATAAAAAAGACTGCAAAATACTATAAACACGGACATGAAAATATACTCCGAGTGGCTAACTGAAAATAAATTGACAATTAACATCGATAAAACAAAATACATATATTTCAAACATAAACAAAATATAGAGAACTCTAAATTAAATATTAAAGTAAATAATACAGAAATAGAAGAAGTGGAAAGCATAAAATACTTAGGACTGATAATAAATGAAAAACTGACATCGACAGAACATATTAACATTTTTTCCCCCTTTTTTTTATTTATTTATTCTTATAACCAATCAGAACCTTGGGTTCAATGAGGTTATTTGCTGACGGGTACAAGGCTTTTAGAAATTCCCCCAGTGGGAAATTTCCTTACATAAATATATTGATTGTTAATGTATTAAATCTTGCGGCCACTTTCTTTTTAGTCTTCTTGTTGGTACTTGTTTCAGCAGGTCTATTATTAAAGTGTTTGCGTGATATGCGCTCTTTTGATAATATTTTGTATTTCTTTCCTTGATGACTTCCTGTATATATTTAATGTTTAGGTCTCGATGGATTGTTTCATTGGAGACATACCAGGGCGCGTCCGAGTACACTACCCTGAGGTACACCAGCTTTTATTGATTCTGTACCAGATGATTCATTCTGCACTCTGACTCTGAAATATCTGTTGGATAAGTAGGACTCCAGTAAAGATGATAGTTCTTGTGGTAGACATTGGTTTATTCTGTAGATCAAACCGTGGTGCCAAACTTTGTCGAATGCTTTTTCGATATCAATAAATATGGCAGAGCAATATTATTTATTCTGCAAATCCATATGTATATTGTTTATGACCCTGTGACCTTGGTGGATTGTTGAGTGTTGAGGTCTAAAACCAAACTGGTGGTCAGGAATTATTATAAGCTTTTCGTTTATTCTGCTTAGAATTATTTTCTCCATTATTTTTGAAAGGATTGGCAATAGGCTGATTGGTCTGTACGATGTAGCTTCAGTAGGCGATTTCGCTGGTTTCAGGATCATAATAATTTCAGAAATTTTGAAGCATTTTGGCCAATATGTTGTTCTAAGGATTGCATTAAATATGAATGTCAAGAGCACTATGCTTTTCTTCGACAGTTCTTTGATCATCTTGCCTTTTATTTTATCCACGCCAGCGCTTTTTTTGTTTTTAGTAAGCATTATATATTTTTTAACTTCTTTGGGAAGAGTTTTCATTATCGCACTTTTATTTTTGTTATCTATCATAAGTGCGTCGTTAGCTTCTTGGTCGGTTTGGTTACCAGCAGAAGAACAAACAGTTTTTAAATAGTTCGCGAATAATGCCGCTTTCTCTTTGTTGCTTTTTGCCCATTCGCTTGCGCTGTACATTCTTATGGAATGTTTGATGTCTAGTGGACTTCGTGGGTTTCCATATTGTTTTGTCGTATCTGCTTAAGTTTGAAATATATTGCGTAATCTCACTGTCCCTTAGATCTTTTAGTTTCTTTTTGAGAGAATTTGTCAAGTTGTTGAAGATTGTTTTATCCTTAGGATTTTGCGTGTTTTGCAATTTTTTCCTTGCTTTACGTTTTTGTTTTATTAGGCGTTTTATTTCTAGGGAGATATCATAGTTAGTTTTATTTTGTTCGTGTATTGTGGGGGTAGCTTTTGTAACTGCATCTTGCAATGTAGTTATGAACGCAGTTAGGCTATTGTCAATGTCCTCTGCAGTTTTTAGTCGTATTTTGAGGTTTATGTTTGAATCAATTTCAGTTTTAAATGCATCCCTATCCGTCTTACAGTTATATAGGTTGTTATTTACTTGCTTATTTAATATACGTGAACTCAATGTTAAGATTATTGGTGTATGGTCCGAGGAGAATTCTAAGTTATTTTCAATCGTCATATATTTAGGCGAAATACCACTCGTTATGAAAAGGTTTAGCAGGTCAGGTGTTTTTTGTTTGTCTGTAGGCCAGTGTGTAGGACTTCTAGTTGACATAAAAGAGTAATTGTTTTTCTGAATTAGTGCTGCTAATTCTTTACCTTTTCTTGTGGTTAGTCTTGATCCCCAGAGCGTGTTTTTAGTATTGAAATCTCCACCCAAGATGAATTTTGTACCTAAGGTTCTGAAAAAATTTTCATAATCTTCACATTTAAGATTATACCTAGGGCGACAATAAATTGCAGAAACTGTTAAATCAGTTGCATGTGTGAAACCTTTAACTTTTATGGTGGTTGCTTGTATTTCGTTATGTTGAAATTTTAGTAGTTCGTAGTGCTCGATCGAAGATTTTATCAGTATACCTGTACCAGCGTGAGCAGTTTGGTCTGGATGATTGGTGAAATAAAAGTTATAAGACGGAATTCTGAAGAATAAATAATCAGTCAAGTGGGTTTCACTTATTAAAAGAATATCGATCATTTGTAGATGTAGGAAAGTTTTTAATTCATTTTGATGGTTTAGAATACCTTTGGCATTCCATTCGGCATTGCGTAACAGATTAATCATTTTTTAACTAGCAAAGTAAGCATGTTGAGGATCATATTGTTTTGCTCCATAAGTTGTTTGAACATATCTTTGAATGTACTTAAAAATTCATGTAGTGTTGATCCTATTTCTGTTGCATTGTTTCCGCCGTTGTTTTGATTTTTCAGAATTTCGGAATAACTCATGTGGTTCGAAACATTAGTATGATTTGATCGTGGTCTTCTATTGATTTCTTGAAAG